GGAGGAGGAAGGGGGTGGAAGGATGGGGGGGAGATGACCTCGCGAAAGAGCCACCGCGATTACTGCGCGGGCACGGTGGCGCGATCTGCCGCAGGCAACTGGATCGATTTGAAACGGTTGTTGACATGAGGGCGCACTTTGTCCGCTGTCAGCCATTATTCATAAGCCAGATCATGTGCAAGCAGTGAAGAAATGAGCGCATCTTCCTCCGACTTAACCGCTGCGCCCTGAGATGAAGCACTGAGCATTCTCGTCATTAAAGACGCGACGCCAAACCTTTCAAGGGCAACTTAAAGTGGTTGGTCTGACATCTTCGAGAACAACAAGATAAAAAAGGCACACTCAACAGCATGCACGGTCAATGTGCAAGTGGTGCGCGCGCAGGGATCTCTGAACTCGAACAGCTGAGGGGGCGCGAACGCAACGGGGGCTTGAAATGATGCCCCCACTAAGTAATACTGCGGCCGACATGAGCACGGCACCGCGCTGCTTGGGACACCGCGCCCACGCGGCAGGACCTTGGGGGAGCGGTGCACCCGTGAACGGCGCGAGCTCTGCTTTGCGCCCTAGGCAAGCACGTGCGCTGGCACTGATGCATGCACTTGCTGCCATAACATGATGACACGCTGTGTGAGCACAGGTAGAGCTACACAGAATATCAGAACGGCTTGCTAAATGAGATAGCTTGACCTTGACGCACGTGATAGTAAATTCACTGCGGGGCACGCAGGGTCGATATTTTGCTGGTTCTAACCCCGAGGCCTCTCCAAGAAGAGGGGCTCTTCTGCTTTCCTTGGCATTGGCAATCGTGGTTCATATGTTTCTGCTGCGGTGGATTGCATCCGTTGGTTTAGATTACATAACGGCGCCGATGTCGCTCTCAAGTGACGTGCGTGCGCTCGGTTTCTCGGCGTGCTCAGCAGCAACTGCGCCGCTTCAGCCGCGGCAGAAAATTGTTGGAACGTCTAGCATGCGTGCTATATGCGCACCACAGAAGCAAACAAAACACACGCGCAGTTCTATGTTTTAAACTGCGAGATTGACCTCGTTGCTCTTGCGTTGGCCAATGCGCCGCGCCCGCAAGAACCAAGCGCGCGCAACTGACTCGCGAACCGCGGCATACAAGCGTTGGCGAAACAGAAGACAATGCAACATGCAGCTCGGCATTTTGCTATGTCATGGGCACCATGCGACAACTTAACATAACAGTTTTGTTTTGATATGTGACACCAGGCTGTCCGGCATATCATGACATCCTAGCCAGCCTGATAGACCATGGCCGCCCCGCGGGCCCTGGCCCAAGAGCCTTATTTCTTATGGCCGCTCGCCCGCAAAAGACAGCATCCACGCAGCGCGCCCCCCAACTTGCGCGCAACCGCATATGTTTTAGCATAGGCCACAGCAGAGAACAACATTGCTGCGGCCTGCGGAAATCTATGAACACGCGTGCCTTCCATCGCGGGCGCTTTGTTTTCCCGTGGGTCTTTGGGGTTTTGCAGGCTTTCGATGGCACGCGTGAAAGGGGTCGCGACGCAGCGCGCCCTTTGCTAGATGGCCCCCGCGTATTCAAACGACCCAACGTGCAGAGCAGCGCGCGACGCCCAGACCATGCATTTCTAAGCAGAAATGTTCGAACTTGAAAACATGAGTTTTCAAAGTTGAAATCAGTTTGCTAAAAACCTAGCGCTGCCAGTTGAAATGGCAGCAGCCATCGTGCAAACGATTTCACCGGACAACAAACATGCGAGAACATGCGCTACCCAAAACACTTGCAACCTAAGCGCGCTAACCTGCTAGCTCTATCCAGTTAACCTGTTTAGCTAACCTGGTTAGCGCGCTTTCTAACCTGGTTAGCTAACCATGCTAAGAATATAGGGCTAACCATTGTAAGCTTGGTTGTATGTGGATAGCAGGGTTACTGCTAAGTGGTTAGCTAAGTGTGCTTTCCATGATCCAAGTGGGCTATGTACTTAGTATGGTTAGCTAAGTGGTTAGCAAGCTTTGTTGCCACTCAGCATGGTTATAACCATAGTTATTTCTATGCTATATCTACGTGCTATCTGTGCTAACCGAGAGCTAAGCACGGCGACGATCGCAGTAGCCCGCCCCCCCCCCCCCCATCGAAAACCGAGGGGGGGGGGTCGCTGCCAGTTCGACCCCCCCCCCCGGGCCCATCATGAAAAAGGGGGGGGGGGGGGGGGGCGCCGCCGGTTCGACCCCCCTTCCCCTTTCGAAAGCCGGGGGGGTCGCTGCCGGCGGTTCGAACCCCCCCTCGAAAACCGGGAGAAGGGCCACTGCCGATTCGACCCCCCCCCCCCCCCTCGCCGCCGGCAAACGAAACGACGCCCGCTCCTCGAGACAGTTGCAGAATGGTGGGGACGTTGGGGCAGTGGTGGGAACGGCGGTGGCGGGGACAGCGGCGCGGGGACAGCGGGGCAGCGGCGCGGACAGTGATGGGGGCGGCGGCGGCGGGGGCAGCGGCGAGGGGGCAGCGGGGCAGCGGGGCAGCGGGGGCGGTAGTGGTGGAGACAGTGGCGAAGGCGGTGGCGAGGACAGTAGTGGGGCAGTAGTACAGTGGGGGGAGTGGTGGGGGCAGTGGGGACAGTGGGGCAGCGATGGGGACAGCGGGGGCGGTGGGACAGCACAGTGGGACAGCGGCGGGGACAGTGGGACAGTGGTGGGAACAGCGGGGACAGCGGGGCAGTGGTGGGGGCCGTGCGGAAAGCGGGGAGAGCGGGACCGCGGTGGGGCAATGGTGGGGAGAGCGGGGACAGTGAGACATTGGTGGGGGGCACTGGTGGGGACAGCGTGGACAATGGTGGGAACAGTGGCGATAGTGTAACAGTGGTGGGGGCAGTGGTGGTGGGGACAGCGGTGCGGGGACAGTTGGGATGTTGTGAAAACAGTGGGACAGTGGAGGGCACAGTGGTGGCGGCGACAGTGGCGAGGGCGGTGGCGAGGACGGCGGCGGGATAATGGGACAGGTACAGTAGGGACAGTGGTGGGGGCAGTGGGGACAGCGGTGGGAACAGTGGGACAGCTCAATGGGACAGCGGCGGGGCCAGCAGGACAGTGGGACAGCGGGGGCAGTGGGACAGTAGTTGGGGCCGTGGAGAAAGTGGGGAGAGTGGAACCGCGGTGGGAACAGCGGTGGGGGCAGTGGGGGCAGTGCGACAGTGGTGGGGGCACTGGTGAGGACAGTGGTGACGGTGGTGGGAACAGTGGGGACGGTGGTAGGCTTTGTCTTGGGGGTCTGCGCTATTGGGGGGGTAGCTCAGAGGCTGGCTCACGAGCAATATTGTATTTCGCTTCCACGGCCTGCCGCGCGCAGCGTTTGCCGCAATTGATTTGCATCTCGACCCAGCTAACATTCGTTATATCAGAGGACCTTCGCAAAATCGCAAACCGCCCATAACCGATTAATGGGCGATTGAGGTAGCGGACTTACGTTCAAAGCAGGCGCACTCACAGAGCGGCATGCCAGAGGACCTCGGGGCTTCGCACGCGCGGCAATAGGCGGGCGAATTTCCCTGCGTCGTTCGCGCGCCAACTCGCGCACCGACCCCCACATCGCTTTTCATAGTGATGTTGCTTCCCGTGCGTTGCCCATGCTCCCGGACGCATTGGGGCATCTAGGGCGCGGTCGGAATCGCGCTGGCGCCTCGTCGGGGCGCCTCGAGGCGACCCCTGGAGCCGCCCCGCGTCGCATGGGCCGTCTTTATAAACGTCTTGGGCGCATCGGACAGCTGCGCGGCCCGAGCCCCCCAGCGACGCGAGCAGCTATACTTGTGCAAGACCAAATGCTGCGACGCAAGCGAACCTCCAGCATGTAAGGACTAGATGCAGGCATGCCATCAAACGCTAGAACACACACATGTCCCCGCTGCAAGAGACCAACATGTAATGCACATGCGTCCTGCATGAAAACGAACGCTACGCGCATCCGCCTGCCCCCCCCCCCCCCCACACACACACACGCACACACACGCACGCACCCACCCCACCCCCACCACCACCGCACCCCCACCCCGTCAGACAGGATATCCTGGGAGAACCACCCCTCGGCCACGCGCGAGCGCAGTGCACGTTCACGAACAACGCAGGTTGCAAGACCTGGCGGCGCTCTGTCAGCGCCCAGCTGGCCAACAGAGGAACGGGCTGATGCAATGCTTGCGCGCGTCATTTTTCCTTGGGCGCCACTCGCAACCGAGCGGGCTTGTGGGGGCGTGCAACAATGCCTTGCAATGAGCTTGCCTGACGCCTTGTATGCCTTGGATGACCACAAGCAGTGTATCAGAGTTGGGTTTGAGAGCCATACGACGAGGACGATGCAAGGCTTGGCTTGGCTGCACTGCACCAGGCCTTGGCCTGACCCCAACAAGAGCGCTCGCGCATGGCCAGCGCGGAGCAGGCCCCGATCGCGAGCCACGCAGCGACCGAAGGTCTTCACTGTCCACGTCGTGGTTGCTCAGCGAACAACGCTGTCGCCATTCGCGCCGCCGCGCAAATTCGCTCCCCTCGCGGGGTAGCGCGCGCAACACGTGACTTCTTTTATCTCGGCGTCGGCCGGGCGAAGTGCTGCGAATTGCCATGCGCAGCCCTCCGTCCTCGCGCGGAGCGCGAGCGATTATTTCCAACTACAACAACGAAGCTGCTCCCTTGCCTCGGCGCACGCCGAGCGCCTTTTCCGCTTGTACCCAACAACCAGCCAGGGGCTCCTTAAATGGGCGGCAGCCGAACGTTTGTGGCGACATGCAATCCGCTGCCCTCTTTCTCGCGCGGAGCGTGAAGCCTTTGCTCGGCGTCGGCCGAGCTTTTTTCCCCCGAGCATCACTTGCCAGCGACCCCCCCCCCCCGCTCCCTTCGCGCAGCCGAGCGATTCCTGCCACTTGGAATTAGTTGTGCTCTTATCTCGCGCGGAGCGCGAGATGCACCCACAAGGTTGCCATTTGGCTCGGGCCCAGCCCAAGTATTTTGCAAACTCCAACAACCAGGGGGCCATGGCGCAAGTCTGGAAGGCGCTGGACCAACCAAGGCGCAAGGGTCTGCGAGGATCCAGGGCCGGCAAATCGCGCGGTTTCCCGCGGGTCGCACGGGCCCCGCAAACCCGAGAAGCCACGCGGGCCCCACAGGCCCCACTGGTCGCACAAGCCCCACGGGACTTATACGTCGCACAAGCCCCACGGTTCCCATAAGTCGCACAAGCCCCACGGGCCCCCACTTATCCCACAAGCCCCGCAGACCGCGGCGCGCGTGGGTCGGGGGCCCAGGCGCGCGCGGTCAGGCACCCGTGGCGCGCGAGGCTCGGGGCCTGCGACGCTCTGGGCCGACCGAAGCTCAAAGGGCTCGCGGAGCTCGGGATCGACGAGGCTGCACGGTCTGCGAGGGCACGCCCTCGCCAAGCGCCACCAGTAATGCACGCGGGCTGGCGCGCCAAGGCGCTCGCGGCGTGCGTGGGCGGGCGCGGCCGTGCGCCCGCGGCCCGCGCGCGCAGGCTCAGCCAGGCGCTTGCGGCCCGCGGGCGCTCGCAGCCAGGCGCGCGCACGGAATGCGCGGGCGGGCGCGATCAGGCACCCGCGAACCGCGTGGGCGGGCGCAGGCAGGCGCCCGCGCATGAACGCCAGGGCGCCCGGGCGCCTATAGGCTGAGCTGCGGGTGGCCGCAGCCACCCGCACGGTTCTCACGCGGATCCCCGCGCCCCCCCCCCCCCCCCGGAGGCTCGACGCAGCTGCCCGTCCCGCATGGCGGGGGATGGGGGGGGAAAGCTACCGGGCCCCCCCGGACACTCGGCAGTTTGTCTTAAAGTGCGTCCTAGCGTTCGAGCACGGCGCGCGTAGACGCGAAAATGATTATTGCGTTTTCTCGAAAGTGCGCCCGCGTTTGAAATCGCATTCTGCTTTTGCGGGCATGAGTGTCTCGGCGAGCGAGGTGGACTTTTGTTTTCCGGGCATGGGTGTCTCGGCGAGCGAGGTGGACTTTTTTCTTCGACGTCGCAGTTCCGGGGGAAAATGAGACGGGCGTCGCAGTTTCGGAGGACAGATGAAACGTGCGTCGCAGCTTCGGGCCCAAATGGCGACGTCGCAGCTTCGGCCAGCGAAAAAAATGGGCGCGCGAGGTGTCTCGAGTGTTCTGGGAGGCTTTTTTTTTTTCTCCTTCTGCGCGGAGTGTCCGGCGTCGCGGAAATGCGTTTTACTCGTGTGCGCTGCGCGACGAAACCCTCTCGAGACTCCCGTGGTTCCCCCGTCCAGGGCGCTCGAATGCGCGCGGACAAACGCGCCCTCTCGTTGGCCGCGGCAGGCCGCACATGGCCGCACACCCGTGCGCGATGCCAACTGCGCCGCGGCCCCTCCGCTTCGCGCGCTGCGCTCCAGCGGAGCACGCGCGATCCGCAGCGCCTCTCGGCCGGCCTCAACAATGCAAATCCAGCCAGTTCGCGCGCCCCCTGACGAACCAGTCGAATCCGCTTTCCACGGGGCCGCCTCGCTCGCGGCGGCCCCGATGCGGGGGCGTGCGCTCGACTGCGCGCGACCGAAGCACAGCTCCTGGACACAGAACCATCACGTCGCCATGGGTCCAGAAAAGAAGCGTGGGAAAGCTCTCGCCCGCGGCGCGTGCGCTTCGCCGCGCCTTCGCGCACGCCGAGCCGTCTACGCAGTTCGCGCCGTCGTTGCCATTGGCCGCGCGCTCGAGGCCACCCGCGCGGCGCGTGGAATCTGCGGCGCATTTTCCAGACGATGCGCGGCTTGAACGTGTCGCGACGACGCTCAGAACTCGCTGCGCGCGCGCCGCCGCGCGCGCGGCTGCGCGTCGCGAATTGCGCCGCGTGGCTGGCTTAGGAAAACCGCGCGCTAGGTCGAAAATGGGAAATGAACGCGCGCCAAAAGCCCATGTCAGCCCCCAGACCGGCGAGGCGAACTCCTGATTTGGGAACCGCGGACCTCGCAGCGCGGTCGACGCCGCGCGCGCGTAGCTCTTCGTGCCGGATTGAAAACGCCTCGCGCCCAGCTGACATCCAGAATCGCAAACCTGGGCGCCAGTTTGGCTTCCACGCCAAGTTGGCAACTTGACCGCGCCGACGCCGCAGCGCTTGCCATGGAACCGCCGCCGAGCTCGTTGCACCGTGCTTCTCTTGGCGAAACTGCGAAACCACGCTTAAAGTTGCGAGTCGGGCTTGCGCTCGTTAGTGGCGCACTTCGCTGACCAGAGAAACAAATTTCTTCATTCCTACGAGGCAGACCTCGTCATGCACGCGCCGCCACGCGCGCCCACTGTGCACTGGGCACCTGGTGTGCATGTGGAAACCGCGCTTTAAGTTGGCATCGGGAATGGATGACAGTCACTACATGCAACCATTCAGCTTTCAAGACAATATGGCTCGATGGGTCTGTACGGCTATGTATAGGAGGGCCGTGCGAGCCAGTGCGCACGCGAATCTCAACAATAACTTTCTTGCGTGCCAATGTAAAACGTTAGTTCTTATGACAGCGTGGCGACGTATGCGCTCCCACCCAGTGAAGGCACCGCCACGCGCGCGCACCGCCCACGTCCTACGCGTTCGGTGCATACAAAGGGGGCGCAAAAACGCCATGCTAAATTCACAGGGACTTTTGGGCGCGAGAATGTAAGATTTGAGTTCCCGCGCAAAGGTGGCGACTTCTGCGCTTCCAGTGTACGCGAGCCTGCCATGCAGGCGCGTTGATGCGCGCGCGGGCGACTCGTGTCACCCCCGAAATCAGCGTGGCGACCGCTAAAGGTTTGATTTAGTTTCCAATCTTCCACGGCCGCGCCCTCATTTCCAAAATTCCGAATCCACCGCGCGAGAGGCCAAGTTCCCAGACAAGGTAAAGGAATCAAGAACCTATGCATTATCCCCCCGTTTTGCTGGCAACAGCCTTCCGAGGCTTCACGGGGGCTCCAAGATGGACCAAGAGAGCCCCTGGTGTCCCCAGAAGGATCCCAAAGATCTCCAAGACGGCCCCCCAAGCGCCCGGAAGCGTCCCAAGAGCGCCCCACGAGGGCCCGGATGGCTTGCGGAGCTCGAGGGGGCGTAGGGGCAGGCTAATCCCCCCCCCCCCCCTGGCTGATCGATGTCATTCAAGATGATTCCAAGCGTGCCTCCAAGGGCCCGAAAAGGATACTGATTTTCGCCCGTGACTTGACGGGCGCCGTTTTCTCCTGTGCTGAGGGCCCTGAACCAAAGCAACGGAGGGCACCGCACAACGCGATCAGACTCGGGAGCAAAACAAATGAAAACCAGGCCAGCCACACAACGCCATTTAAGTCATCTTGACAAGCCAGCGCTTGCACCATGTACATTGAAGACGCGCTCGAACCCGACACGGCAAGCCGAACCTCTGGCTGTCTGCCACCAGGGGCGGGTCCTCCGACTGATGTTTATTGCCAGCCCTGTGCTAACAACAACGCTGTCAGCTTGCCGAGCACCGTCCACGGATGTTGAAAAAGAAAAAATACATGCGGCCCCCTCAAAGGCAGGAGAGAAACATGGAAACGATAATTTACTGTGCGATGGCATGATCATTTTCGCCTACAAGTGTCCTAGCCAGTTCGCATATGTTAAAATGAACTTCGTAAAATACAGATGCGTGTGCACGTCAACGCTGTACCAAAATTGCGATTTGAGCTGCGTGTCCCAAAATGCGATTGGGACATGTTGGTAGTACCACCCAAAAGTCGCCCCTGCCCTTACCCAGGCATGAGGGCCCAATAGACAGGGGCGGACGCAGCCCCCCAGATGAAGCTAAAGTGGTGGTGAGGACAGTGGTGCTGGGGACAGCAGCGGGGGATGTGGTGCGGACGGTGGTAGGGGCCCAGAGTTGTGTGCTGGCGGTGAGCATGGGGGGGGGGAGGGGTTCGAACCGGCAGTGACCTCCCGATTTTCGAGGGAGGGGCGTTCGAACCTGTAGTGGCCCCCCCCTTGTTTTCGAGAAGGGGGGGGTTCGAACCGGCAGCGACGCCCCCCCGGTTTTCGAAGGGGGGGGTTCGAACCGGTAGTGACCCCCCCTTCGGGTTTTCGAGAGGGGTGGGTGGGTTCGAACCGGTAGTGACCCCCCCAGGTTTTCGATGGGGGGGGGGTCGAATCGGTAATGACCCCCATCCGGTTTTCTGGAGGGGGGGTGTTCGAACCGGCAGTGACCCCTCTCTGGTTTTCTGGGGGGGGGGGGGAGAAGGGTCTCGAACCGGCAGTGACCCCCCCCCGGTTTTCCAGAAGGGGGGGGGGTTCGAACCGGTAGCGACCCCCCCATGTTTTCCGGAGGGGGGGAGGGTTAGGGGAGGGGGGGGGGTTTGCCGGGGGGGGGGGGGGGGGGGAGTCCCAGCAAGGGGGGGGGATTTTCGGAGGGGGCGCCCGGGTTCCGGAGGAAGAGGGGGGGGGAAAGTTTCCACAGTTAAGCGGCGGTAGATCACGCTCTCTCGAATATTATTACGCCACCTCGCGCCAGTACTCATAACTGAGCTTCGCCCCAGCAGCTGCGTCACGCACGACGACAGCGACGTGCCGCGCAGCGAGACCGAACCCACCGTGTTCCTACCGTGCCCGCAAGGTCCAGAATTCACCCTCTAGCAACCTGAGTACATCACCACCAGAGTCACCAGAGGAGGATTCAAATTCCCTGCCGACCTTCCACCAGAAGACACGCAATACGGATTTGTACAGCAGCAACTCGTAGAAAAGGTGCGACACCGCAGAAGCTCAATGCGACCACCCGGAGAAGCAGCGGCGACACAAATGCAACAGACACATGGCAATGTTACCACCAGGGCAAACAATTTCCAACCTCGCTTTCCAGAGCAAGAAGGACAAGCCCGACAGCAGAAGGACCGACACCAGCCACGAAAACGTTCCACTACACCCAGCCAAAGCACCCACTCCACCCACGCAAAACCAATGCCGACGAAAGATTCTACCCATTGAGAGACGACGCCGAGTTATGCCACGACACAACAGACTCTGACGAGAGTTTCGACGAAAACGACCCATTGGGCCAAGATGAGCGGAGCATCAGTCACTCTCGAGTTCTAACTCGCGTCGCTCAAACGCGACAAGTACCACGACATGCGCTGTCCTAGTAGATGGACTGCGCACCGCAACTACGTCAACGGCGCGGACGCGGACGACCGCGAAGACGACAGCTGGCATCGCGCAGTATACCAGCACGAAGCGTCCAACACATACGCGTGCAGGTTCTCGAACGACGGCCTCCTACTACCTGATTGGCACAGGTATCTCAACAAGTGCAACCACGAAATGTTCATGTGCAAAGGTGGGAAACGGTGCCTACTGGATCCGCCTCCACGACCAGATTCCAGAGCAACGCCACTATCGACCTACACCCCACCACCAATTCAAGCAAACAATTCAAGCTCAAAGACGCCATTCAAGCAGACGCGCGCCCGCCGATGCCCAAACCTTCCAGATGCCCCACGCCCACGCGCTACGGCGACGACCTACAGGCACTCGCAGCACACTACCGCGACAAATTCAACCTTATGGCTGCAAGTCGTCACGACCACCCAGCACCTTCAGGCATCACTCGCGGGGGGGCATGCACCACTCAACGCCGGCAAGATTGCGGCCATGCAAGAAAGTGCCCAACGGCCCACGCCTGCCGCGACGAAGGCGACGT